ATTCTCAAAAGTCTGTAGTACTTGGAGAAGTGCTGTCTAATAAAAATACAATATGAATCAAACATGCTTTTAAATTTTCATTAAAAAAGTAGAAGAGGTAAAGTGAACTTTATTAATATATTTATTTAACCTAATATATCCAGTATATAATACATAATCAATAAAAATATTAATGATATATTTTTTGCTATTTTTTAAATACTGTCTTAAAACCTGTCAAGTGTTGTACATTTACAGCACATCTCATTTTGACTAGCCACAGTTCAAGTGCTCCATAGCCCCATGTGGACAGTGCCTGCCATATTGGACAGCACATACCTACTGAATCCATTATATAATTTAGCACAAGGTTATCAGATCCAGGCAGGAGAAGATGGGTCCTCCACAAAATCAGACCCATAACTGGAGTATGGTCAGCCCGTAACACCCTTATGATATGTTGATGCTCCATTTTCAGAGCCACAGAAAAAGATGTGGGAAGTGACCGCTATAAACGTTTGTATTGCCCCCCCCCCCCTGTTCATAATCCCTAGTGTGAAAGTATTTGGAGACAGGGCCTTTGGAAGGCACTTAGATCACAAGGTTGGAGCCCTCATGATGAGAGTAGTGCCCCTTATAAGATTAAGAGATGAGACAGAGCTTGCGTTTCTCCCTACGCTATGGGCCGGTGCAGACACAGATAGAAGGCACTGTTCTGTGAGCCAGGAAGTCAGTTCTCACCCAATGCCGGACTTGCTGACACTTTGATCCAGGACTTTCCAGCCTCTAGATCTGAGGTGAGAAATATTTTTTAAGACCCCCCCAGACTATGGTATTCTGTTATAACAGCCTGGGCTGGCTGAGACAGTAATCAGCCAACCAGGTAATGTATTAATGAGATGATTCTCTCCTCAGCAAGCACCAGTCCGGTTCCGTAAGAGGACGTCAGAGGCGGCTTCTCTGCCTCAGTGTACAGAGAACACAGGAAGGATATATACGGGACCAGGAGAACTGAGGCTATCACATCACAGCCTTCGATTTTTCTACCAAACTAGTAATGCATATGGGTAGAAGTTACCATTGTTCATGAGAACTGGCTAGGCTTTTTGAATCTGGATCCAAGAGGCTGGTATAACTAGTTCTAGGTACACGACTGCTGGTTGATATTAATAAAGACAAAGATTGTTCCTTGGTCATAGAAAAGTATGTGTCTTAAAAGATAATTGCCTCGGTTTAATGAACAAAATAAGGAATTATTTCCAGGGAAACATTTCACATTAAAATATGTGAATTTGGCAAACAATGAATTGTTTGATTCCATAGCAAACAATGAATCCTGTTACTGAAAGTCTCAGAGAAAAAAATCTTGTTGCAGGGTGGGTAGATTTTTATTTAAAGGCTCCTTATCACCACCTAGCTCAAATACAAACACCTGATTATTGCCGCCACCTGTCTGTACAAGAGTATTCTCATTTCCAACAAACCTGCTTTTGTGGCCCTTGTCCTAATCAAAAAGGCGATTTCCTTCCAGTTCTGCTCCAGCCCTGTGGTTTTTAGAACACCTTGTGTTCCACAGTGTGCCACAGTGCAAATCTACCCCTCTTCGAAGGAGGAAAATGAAATGAAACATGATCTTATCTAACTTGCATCTTTCATTGTTATTTTCATTATTCTTCTTCAAACCAATCACTCCATTCTTTAGTGATGGTTTTTTAATGGCAACTTCCTATTTACATTACTGTCTGCCTGGAAGGCCTGCGTGACTTTTTCGGGTGCTGAGCTCAGCTAATTAGCATGACACATGCTTGGCTAAATAGCTCTCCAGGACAGCAGTTTGGTATGGGAGATGCAGTGGCTGACAGGAAAGATTAGGAGGGAAGGCTCCCACCGTAGCTTCCTCCCTTAAAAATTTAGAATAGCCTTTCTCTTCCAAACTGAAGAAAAATAATGGCAAATATAACAACATTTGAAGAGAAAAGGGAAAAAAGATTAAAATTCAACAATTATAATAATTGTTTTTTATAAACCAAACTCTTTGTTGCACTAAAGAGGGGTAGGTGGGAAATGGCCCCTTCAAGGGACGGAGCCCTCTCCGGGACTTGCTCGGGTTACAGGAAACTGCTCATGGCCAAGTGTCTGCTCTTGGACTTACAGACCTGCATTTTCCAGCATCCTCTAGTGAGTTTGGGCTTGGCGATAGAGGTAAAATTGCTTGACATGAGAGAGTAACCAAAATTTAGAGAGCGGGAAGAAGCTAGCATCTGGGGTGGATGATGGCCAAGAAGACGGTGATAAGCCAGGGCCCTCCAAATAGTACCACCATTTTGAAATTTCCCTGGTGGGTTATAGCTGGTAAGTTGTTATGACAGTGTTGCCTAGATTTCCGATTTAATCAGAAATGATGTTCTGCACTTTCCTTACATTACTCCAAACCTTCAGGAAAACTTCGTTACATCCAATGGCACCACATTCATGGTATTGGAGGGAGGGGCCGCTGGTGTTCAACAGGGGGCAAAAGGGACGAAGAAGAGAGGAGGCCGTCAACGGTCACTGAGTCAGGACTGGGACGGATGGGTCGGCAAAGTGCCATCTCTGGAGAAATCAACAGAAATGCTGACGAGAGGGAGAGGACAGCGATTTCCCACAGTAAATGGGTTCCACTGTCTTATCTGGATATCACAGAGAGGTCTCAGAAAGCTGTCAGAGTTGAGAATATCTGGTTCATATGATTGCTTACTGGCATTAAAATTCTTAAGTTGTCTGTCAGTCCCACGGTTCCCAACTGCATTCCTCAGACTAGAAAAATTTTAGGGACTGCCGAGATAACCAACTTTGTATTGTGCTATGCAAAGATATTTTAAAAACTAATTATCACCATTGTTTAATAAAATAAAGGACACTTTTTAACACACCTATAGGCTAGCTGGAAAGGGCAGAATCTCAGAAAAATTTAAATATTTTTTGTTTTTCATAAATTTCTTCCCTTTTTCTCAGCATCTCATGGTTCTCTAGCGGAGTCAAGCAGGTGACCGCAACTGCGAACAGTATCGCCTGTGCTGTGCTGTGGTGGAGGAGCTGGCAGAACAGTGAGGGCAGAAAGGCCAAACCACAGTTCAAAGGCAGTCAGTCTATTTCTAAGCAGAAGGGCAAGAAACACTAAAGCCTGACGTTAGAACTTACACATTATTTGAATTTTCTTACCAATGATTTAGGGGAAGCTGACAGTACATCCCAGAGGTCATGGAGTTTTCCAGACTTTTATTTGTTCTGAGCCAATCACAGGTCTAGGAACACAGCTTGTGTGGGGCTTGTCAGCTGGTCCACCACACACTGGACAGAAGGAGGTCAATTACAGGGGCTTGGGGGATAAAAACTGCCCCTCCCACTCGTCTGTAATGGAATGGCTGCAGGCTTGGCCACTCTGCTCAATTTCAGCCTGAAGGTCATAGGAGGACAGGACAGGGCGAGAGGGTTGTGCTGCATGCAGCAGGAGAGCAGTCCCTTAGGCTGTAGTGCCTGCTGTAGACAGAGCCCTTGCTCAGCACACACAGCTGGGAGATGACTGGGAGGGTGGCAGGCACATTGGTCCCTCCAGCTCGGAACTACCTGAAGTCACCAGCTCCCTGAGTTTGTTGAGATTTGGGAAATTGAGAACATAGCCTGACCACAGCAAAACAGGAACAAGGAACAGCATGCAAACAAAGGCTGAGCAGACATCCTGTAGCATGTGAGTGCCCTACTTAGTGCAATATAGGCAGATTGTAATCTGTTTAGTTTTGAATTTTGAAATCCCACCCTGGCCCCCTGGCGGTCTCTGTTAGCAAATAGCTAACTGCCACGTCTGCTTCTGTTCAATGCTTGCTTGCTCGTCCCTATATAAGGACTTAGCTGTAAGCTCTCCGCGAGACTCTCATCTGCAGCCCTTTTGGGCACTGTGTCTCTGGACACCCCAAGAGTTCGCCCCTGCGCAGGTTAAGCTTGGCCAATAAAATAAGATCAAAACCCTGAAAGGTCTTCGAAAATTATTCTCGAGTCTGGTGGATATAACAAGTTCTCATCCTAAGTGAGAGTTAGAGAGGGAGGCATAGCATGGTATCTCAATAATCAGTTCTTGAATTCCAGGGCGGGGCAGGGGGAGTTGGGGAATGCTGGCATTGTAGGAGATACATACACAGACGTTTGTATGGGAAGAAGATCCAGGGACAGGTAGGTACAATGGGGAGTTTTCTATTTTCTCTGTGCCCCAGAGGGTACCAGATTAAAGAAAAAAAATCTACTTACACTTTTCTTATGTTATATAATGAGTATATGTGTCAAAGGGATAGCTGCTGGAAGTCATTCCCTCCCCTGTCTCACCTCAATTCTTGTTAGAAATAGGTCTAGAATTTTCACACAACTATCTGTCTTTTAAAAAAATCAAAATCTCAGTCGATCAGGGGATGGCTACAATGCCCATGTCTTTGGCCAGGTCTTCTGGCTTCTCTAAGCAAAGACGTGTGACAATGGTACAGAAACACAGGAAGGGACTATGAATGCAGAGGTCTGCAGCTTGCATCATTCTCACACATTCCCATTTTAGATTCTGAGCAGCTCTCTTCCCGATGCGCTATGAAATACAGGCGTCTGGCTGAATCATCCACACGAAATGAGTTTCTTTCTCCTCTGGAGATTAGGAAGAGAGTTGCGGTCCTTTCCCCGCGCGACCCTACACATCAAGACTTTCCCGGATAAAGGCCCAGTCGGTGGTCAGGACCCGCAGACTGTGCGGGGGAACCAGATAGAGCCTCGTAAAGCCCAGAAATGCCAGCGACCAGGCCGGGGAGAGGCGCCGAAGGGAGCGGAGTTGTTCCCGAGGCTGGCTGCGGTGAACCCGCAGCTCTGGCTGGGCAGTAATTGCTCTGAATGAGAAAGAACTAGGGGCCCCGATCCCTGAGGTCTCCCGAGGTCAATTCCCAAAGGACCGACGGGCTCTGAGATCTGCCAAGTGCCTGGAAGCCGAGCGAGGGCAGCGAGTCTCTTACCTGGCCGGGCTGGCTAGTGTAGTTGAAGGCGTAGATGGTCTCAGTGCTGAGGTTCACCACCCCGCTGTAGACGTGATCGAAATCGGCGCCCCTGGCAGGGTCGTGGGGGTCGCGCCGCTGAGCCTGGGGCTGTGCGGGGCCCCGGGGCGCCGCCGCCCGCAGGAGCCCGGGCAGCGCGCACAGCAGCGCGCAGAGCGGCGCGAACCGCGGGGATCTCCGCATGGTGGGCGCCGCGCGGCCGCAGGCAGAGCCGCCCGGGAGAGGGCGAGAGCAGAGCAGGTCCTTCCGAAGCCCCCCGCGGACTCGGGAGCCGGCCTCGGCGCAGCCCCTTCCACTAGCCACGCGGCCGTGCTGGCAACGCACTGGCGAAGGGCGGATCGAATATTGACGCCGCCGCCGGGGGTCTCCGCGGGGGTCAAGGGCCGGGGGCGAGGGGCCCGAGGGGTACCCAGGCCGTGAGCTGCAGCTTTGCTCTCGGGCTTCTAAGTCCGTTTCCTTCCCCTTTTCTCATTTCTGAGAGTGTCTAACTCACCTAGCCAACACTTCAACAGACTGTTTCCCCGTCAACCTTAAAAAAAAAAAAAAAGGCGACGGAGATATTAGAAAGAAATATTCACTAGTCTTGAAAGGTCAGCCTGACCAGCCATCGAGCAGGAAATTCAATCTTTTTAAAATAAATGTGCAACCGGGCTGCAAGCGAAGAAATAGCAACAGAGCTTGTCCTCCAGTCGGCTCTCTGAATGATGGTGATTAACTACCGAATTCTCCTTTCTCTCATAGAACACCTTTTCCAAACACCTGTTTTATTTCCTTATCACCTGCTATGTTCCAAGAAGAACCTCACGTCATCGTTCTCTCTCTCTCTCTCTCTCTCTCTCTCTCTCTCTCTCTTTCTCACCAAACATGTATGCAAACATGTAAGGTCATAAAAAAAATAGATGTGGTTAAGAGGACAGATTTGAACACCGCCTGAAGTCTGGTCCCGGAAGTTATCCAAGGCGATTCAGAGTAGCTGGATATATGCAGAGAGCATTTCTTTCCACCCATTCTCTTGCCTAATTTATACTCTGTAATGACTTCTCAGATTCTGAAAGATTCCCTAGGATTCCGAATTGTTTTTCAAAAGACAGACACACTCCAGTATTAAAAAGAAATTTTCTGGTAAAAATTAGGTGACTCAATTTAAACAGTTAAAGAGCCAGATAAAAGGTGGGTGAAAGAGGATATGTTGGAAGTCCCTGAAGAACATCAAACAATCACAATTCAGGTGTAGAAGAGGACTCACTTTTTTAATATCAGTTTCAAGTTATTTATAAACTAGAAAAGCATATAATTGTGCTTGACATGAAGGAACATTAAAAAAGAAGCTGCAAAGAAGAGACATCTTATTCAAAGAGTTGAGATTAAGATTAAAATCCTAGCATTTACCATTCAAAGGGAGTTTTTTCTTTTCACCCCACTGAATTCCTAAAAGTTATTACAACTTCAAAAATAAGTGCATTACATTTGTTGTAAAGTTTTATAACTGCACAATCAGAAAACAATGCTAATGGAATATTGTGTGAGGTGACTGCTTATTAGGGCAATTTTTACTTTAAAAATGTTCTTGAAAATATGTGGTGTAAGGACAAAATGATTAATTCAATGAAGAGTGCAGTGGTTGAAGTTTAAAATAGAGCTCACTGTTCTTAAAGAACATAGCATCATAACTTCATCCAGAATTTGAATGACTTTAACTGCTGTATTTAAAATGTCTGTCTCATTTTAGAATTTAAGAAAATTTCATGAACTTGAAGTTCATGAAGCTCTTTGAGGGCAGCGGGCCCGGCCAGTTCAGGTGCTCACCAGGGCAGGGCTGCAGATCATGGAGTCTTACTCAACACTAGGAGAGAGGATGACTGGACTCTCACAAGACAACCCCTTCTTTGGGGACAAGTGTGCCATTAGAAAGATATTTTCACATTTTAATTGAAATTTGCCTCTCTTCTGTTCACTGGCATGTGTTCTGCCCTTTGGAGCCATAGGAATAAACCTAATCCTTCTTCCACATGACAGCCTTGTAGGTATTTGTAGAGAGCTGTGATCCTCAAGGCTTTATCTTGTTTTTAAGCAATGAAATTGGAAACAATTGGAATAGATTATCATAGTACAAAACCCAAAGTATTTATTTTAAAGACATTATAGGTGATATCTATGCCAGACATTTTGAGTGATATATTACAAATCACTCTATACTATGATGCAATCCTAATTCTAGACCAAATTCATTGAATGACTTCAGGTCATTGACCTCCCTGGATCACAAGATTGCTGTAAAGATAAAACATCGGGGGGTGGGGTGGGGAATGGATATACTTGAAAGTGTGTTAGACAGTTTCAAATGCTCCACAACTAAATATTATTATTGTAGGACTCCCAGTCCAATAGCTAACAAGTAAAATATGATCCATCAGCCAGGTTTTAAAAATATCTACAATGCAAATCTTCCACTGTGAGAGACTGAATACACAAATAGACAATGGCCAGACCATATATGACAGTGGACCTTTGATCTACAACCTCTTTAAGAAATAGCCCAGAACAGTTAGCACTTGGTCAATGACTGCCAACTTCCCCAATTTTTGTCCCTACTTCCAACTCAAGATCAATAAGAGAAAGCCAAATATGCCCCTCAAACCATAAAATATTCTGCTTCTAGTTAGTGGGCCTCCTGTTTCCCATGTTACCAAGATCTAATCAGAGCATTTCTGAAACTTTCCCCTTTTCTCCACTACCTCACAAATAGAACTGTAATATTAAATGCACACCAGAAGGACTATTTCTTGAAGTTTCAGAGGACTCGTCTACAGTATTTGTAATCAACTTGTGTCTGTTCTATACAAACTTTTTCTTTTTCCCTATGCTTGATGTATACTCTAGATGAATATCTTAACACTATACCTACTCTCTATACTGCAAAATTCCCTTTGACAAAGGAAAAAGAATTGGAGTGGAATCTATTAAAGTTCAAACATATTCTACCAAACTGTTAGCCAAACTTCCCCAAAGCTGGAATAAATAAAAGCTCCAAGTCCTTTTCATAATTTGCACTAAACCTTGTAACGTTCCTGTTCTGCCAGTAAAGAAACCAAATGGACAAGAGTATTGATTTGTTCAAGATCTCAGGGACATCAATACAATTGATGTTTCTCCCTTCCCATTAGTATCTAATACTAAATACTCTCCTGACAGCAGTTCTTCCCCACCCACCTGCTTCTCTGTAGAGCATTATTGCTCTTTCTTGGTGTGTCCCAACACTGAACAGTCAACATTTTTTTTTTGCCTCACTGGGGAGGACAATACTCTACACGGACAGGTAGGTCCAAAGAGTTCCCTAAAGCCCCTCTTGTTTTCCTAGGGGAAAAGAATTAAAAGATCTAAATTTCCTTAATCAAGAATTAAAATATCTAAATTTCCCTTATGATTCAGTTTTGATATAAGATATAGATGATTTCCTACTTTGTCCAGATAAAGCCTTGTAAAAAGGATTTCACTTACTTGTTCTCAGCCTTAGCTGAAAATGGAAATACAATTTCAAAAAATGTAGATTACAATTTTGCCAAAATATAGTCCATAATTTAAGGCATGACCTTTTTAAAGAGCGGAAGACATTCTCTCACGACAGGCTAGAGACTATTCAAACTTACCCTAGATTCCTCAAAAAAGTACAGTTGAGATGATGTCTAGGTCTCACTGGGTATTTCAGACAGTGGGGGCAGATTTTTCTGAGATTGTGACATCTTTTAATGAAATAGCTAAATCTTAGGTAAGAATTCTTTTTTGAAAGCCCAAGTATTAAACAAGTCTTCTATTATCTAAAGAAGACTCTTGACAGTCTGTTTCCCGAGACATCCCTAACAACAAAAAAATTCTCTTGTCTATTTGTGCATAAATGTTCCAGGAAAACCTTGGGTTTTTAACTCAACTTTGTGGGAAATAGCAAAACCCCATCACTACTGTAGCCTCACCCTCAAGCCAGTTGCAAAGACTGATACCCCCTTTTTTAGGGCAATACTGCCATTGCAAAATGTATCGATGTTTCTGCTGAATTTATTCTAGGCTCCTTATTTGACTTTATGGTTCCTCATGCAGTACAGACTTTACTACTGACTGAAATACACAGCACTTCAGTCAGTCAATTAGCCCCTTAGGAATTTCTGTTGCTCTCTCCCTCTCACATTACCATTAATTCCTGCAAGACCCTGAAGCCTGCTACTCTACTGCCCTTACGGTAAGAAGGAGAACCTCACAATTGTCTCACTTCAGTTAAGGCTCTTTATAATCATCAACCAGGAAATTTCAGCTATTGGAAAAGACATTGGATAAAAAATTCTCTTGAAACTCATCAGATGGGACCTTATCAAGGATCATTAAAAATAAATACATTAGTGAAACTTTGGCAAGTCAACCCTTGATTACATATTTCAAAACTGAAGCAACAACTCAGAATTCTCCACAACTGGAAGGCTACCCCAACATGGCACTTTAAGCTAAGGGTTCTCAGAGATCCTCTAGAAGCAGCCTCTTTGGAAATACCCAGTTGACCCAGGACTTTTGGAATAAGCACATGGCCTCAGATAATGGACAGCTCTCACCTAAGACATTGGATGGAGAACCTTGTTGAATTCTTGTTTTGTTTCTGACTTGCTTATTGATAATCGTTCTCCTCCGCATTTACTATAGACACTGGTGTTTTCTACCCAAAATGGCCTCTTTTCTCTCCCCACTTTAGTATAATTGTTAGACTAGAACATGTTCATTCTAACACCATTCATAGATTATCTTGTATAGTAGTAGTCCCTGCCCTCAGTCTTACTGTTGAATACGCCACCCATCACTGCACCCTCACCATATAAACCTCTGGAATATTCTAGTCTTACCAAATTAAATCACAAGGAATTATAACCAATGGTGGTTCTGCTTGAAACCACATGGACAAAAGACTTTAAACACATTAACTAATGATTTTACTAGTTTTTCTTCTCCCAGAAAAAGAACCAGATATTACAATGTATTTATCAGGCCCCAGGTAATTCTAAATTTGAATTTTAAAAACTTTGTAGGGTGATGAGTCAAATACTTGCCACTTGGAAGAGACTAATAGAGATCCAACATGCAAGGCTTTGGTCCCGACTTCATGTTGTGACCATCTTTTCCATGGATGTCCATGTGCCTCTACAGGTTACTACTTTCTTTGTGGCCAGGACACATGGTCTTGTTTGCCTAAGGCTAATACTTCATGCACTTCAGTAATAGTATTCCAAGACTTGTTTATACCTAGAGACTATAATTCTATAAACAGCCAAGGATATAAATTCAGACTCAGATACAAGCTTCGAAAGGAGGTCGCCCATGATTGTTCAGGTACTCTACCTGGAAGAATTACTGACAGTTTATACTAACAATCAGAGCAGTCTTCCTGATGGTGAAAATTATGCAAATAGGAAAGGCTGTGAGAATCTTATCATTAACTTTGGCAGGAGTTATTAATGATACTACATCATTCCTAGATGGAATACAAATGAGTTTTAGCTCATTGCCATGAGCAGTGGTAGACAGTTATATTGCTTTTTATTTATTGTTTGCCACTCGTGGCAGTCTCTGTGCCACTGCCAGTACTTCTTGAATTAATGAAATGGTCATGGTAGAATAAGCTATGCATTGCTTCAAGGATAAAGCTACTTGACCCTCTAAATTTGCTCTTCATGACCTATGGCATTCATTCTTTTGGCTCAGGGTGGGCAATTGGGGTTCCTGAATCTGAA